CATGTACATACAGATTGATCTGAATTTTAATATAATCCTGTTTAGTTTTTAACTGGTTCGTGTACAGCAGAGGTTCCCAAACTGTGGGGCGCGCCCCCTAGGGGTGGCGCCGTGTCATTGCAGGGGGGGCACGTGAAGCCGTCTGGATGAAAAAAAACAAACAAAAAAAACATGAACACTGTATGCGCTGGGTTTTTACCTTAGAATGGCCAACTCTCTGTTATGACTATGTCAATTTGATACAGTAGAGGCTTCCACACTTCCCATATTTGTGTCCTCTGTCACTTTTATCAGCAGTTAAAACTGTTTAATCCGTTGCTAACATGTTGTAACCTGTTTTTCCGAGCCGCCTTTAAACGCAACATGAGCGCTACGGCGCTCGCGCTGGGTTTCCACCTGTGAAGGAGACCTGCTGCTGCTGTGCGGAGCTACGTAGGTTTGTGTTAGAATCACGGCAGCAAACCAGCAAAACGCCAAGAACTTTTCACATTTTTTCCCTCCAAACTAACCGACTGAGTTGAGTAAAGCTGTTGGATGCAGGTAATGTTAGCTAAAAGATGACTAGCTAGCTAATATCAATACAGAACCTTAAGCTTAACAAGTACCTTGTAGGCTACTGATATTGGTGTCTATTTTCAGCTACGTACATTCATTTTGCCCCCGAAAAAGTCGATGCCCCCCCATCACAGGCGTTGTTTCAACCAGACAGCCATTTGTAATCCATAGGGGGGGCGCAGAAAATGTTTGGAAACCTCTGGGGGGGGGCAGAAGAAAAAGTTTGGGAACCACTGGCTTAAAGTCATGCTAATAATGTATGTACTCTTTTGACTTAAAAAAAAAGTAATTAAGATGAAAGTTATGTGTTCTTATAAGCATTTTATTAATTGCATTAATATACGTGCTGCTTTATCATTTCCCCCATTATTTTTACATAAAGCTACTACATGCCAGCCCATTCCTAGAGATAGATACAGAAAAATAAATCCTGACCAGTGTATTCTTGATCTGTATTGGTAAAAAAGATTGTAAGATACAATTTTTTTAATGAAATTTAAGGCAACCTGAAAAGAATTCAGATAACTTTTAGTAATGAGCTAAACCAAAAAAGATGTGTATGAAATAACAAAGCAGGAGACTTGTTAATTAACTACAAAAACAACTGAAAAAGAAATAATTGTCTAAAGTGTCCTTCATTTATTAGCTGATTCAAGTGCATATAGACACTCTGGAAAACACTCAGTGTTTCTTGGAAATAAATAAACTTAGAATCCTTTTTCTTTGAAAATTTCTGTCACCTTTCATGACACAAAGACTCAAGAATGGATGGATGACTGTATGAATCTTTTCGTTATTCTGAAGGAACTCTTTACTTGACTCAAATGAAAACAATTATTTTTAATCTGGAGCTTTAGAAATAGCTCAAGTAACTGTTGCTCACTATTTAGTCATCATTTTTAACATGCCATTGTTAATAAAATGTAACAATTATTTTTTTTTTCTATTTCTTTTTAAAAAAATTTCCCATTGCACTTAAGAGATGCTTATCTAATTTTCAAACAAAACCAAACTTTTTGACTGAAACTAATAAGTAAATCTAAATCTGGCAGGAGGTGTGGATATGAATTGGGCTCAGTTGTAGTTTAAAATATGCCAATGAAGAGCAACGCTTTAATGTAAGAAATTAGTTGATGGTGACATGAAATTGGAGGAGGACTTGTTGTTTCGTGAGACAGAAAGACTATTTACAAGTAGGGACAGAGATCCCCCACTCCATATCCAACAGAACCAGACGGCGTACGTCCGACACAACAAAATCCTTCAACAGCGGAGCCCAGCTGTTGAGTCACCAGCCAAGAAAGCACTTCAGACTCTGGGAACAATCACCTCATCTGAAAAACTGTGAATCACAGCCTCATTACATGTAAATGAGGACAGGAGGCTAGAGTGTGAGCTGATGTCATGAAAACCATGAAGAGGTTTGAATTTGTTTACATTTTGCTCTTGAAGTATATGTCTAATGCATTTCTTATGAAGAGTGCTCTTGGAGAATGTTGTTCCCATGGTACATTTGATCCATCTGGTTGACACAGTGACATTGTACCTGCACTAGATGTTCCTGCAGAAATACAGAATCTGGGTCAATGGGGGGGATGGAAACGTGCGAACAGTCCACACGGGGCGTGAAACGGATACAGCCAACATATGGTAACCTATGTACTCGTAGGTGTTGGTTCAGAAGGTGTTTATGGGAAGCGGTGTTCAAATGATGCGCACAGTGAGATTAATACTTTACATTGAAAGTTGAATTTCCGTTTCTATTCATTTTAGAGAAAAAATGCTGCAAATCCTGTTTGTGTCCCAAGCAATTTTTCAGATGAGGTTTAGTTTTAATGACTGAAGGCAATCAACTTGTTTCATTCTCTAATACTGGGAGAGATTGGAAATAGAAATTGAAAATTATTTGCCACTTTCTGACAAATTGCTTTTGCATCAACCCCCTGTTTTTTTCTGAACTAAAGTCCAAATTCTTCTTAAGATAAGTTCTTAGTGTATATATAAATCCAAAGCTGCTTGCTTCAGGGATCTTACACAACTTTCAACCTTTTTTTTCTTTTTTACATTTTCTTTCATCCAGTTGATAAAGTATAGGTAAAAAGCTCAACAACTGATTTATAGCTATTTTTTTCTAAAAGTTGTACCAGTATGTAATTTGTAAAAAAAAAAAAAAAAACTATAGCAAGGAAGAAAGAAAGGAAAGAGGAGCAGACAGACTGATAGAAGAGTTGAAAGATGGACAGACAGAATGCCTGATTGACAGACGAAAGGATGAACAGATGATAAAATGGATAGATAGCTGAAGTGATGGATGGACAAATGACAGATTGATAAATGGAGGGAAACATGGCCAGAGTTACACACAAACTTACAGGTTAATGGATGAATGGTTGACTAATGGATGAATGGTTGACTAATGGATGAATGGTTGACTAATGGATGAATGGACAGATGGACCAATGGATGTCTCAATCTGATTTCCATGAAGTACGTCTGCAGTGGTTAAACTATCTAAAAGGAAAAGAACTACACTTGTACAAAACAGAATCAAAGCCTCGGCACAATAAATCTAAAAGATGTTGCTCGTATTGAAAATGGTTACCTTTTTTTTTCTTTTTTTCTGTGAATTAGGATTACTACCAACTCTAACCTACTTTGATTTATTTTAGGAGCCAGAGCTCAGATCAAAATCAAGCTAAGAAATCAACTGAGGAGAGTGAAGTGAGGCCCAGAAAAGCAGACACCTGCATGTGACTCTCACCTGATATACTAAAAGCAGACAAATCCCACTGCACGTGCCCTACATGCTTCAGACTCCATAAAGACAACTTGATTTAAAGGAGAAAACAGATGGACACATTCCCTCTGAGAGGCAAAAAAGGTGGTGAAAAAATACACATACATTCACAATAAATACCTATTGAACTATTCATGAAATTCCCAATAAATACTTTTAGCTACAAATTAATTTGGAATCGTAAAATAACATATATTTTTGTTTCACGTCCTCTATAGTGTTTGTTCAAAAACACGTAAAGAACAATGCATCTGATGTGAGACCTTAAGAATTACTGGGAAGTAAATGATTAATCTAGACTTCTGAGTCCATCAGTCAAGCTGCAGTTTGCAAAGGTCTGCTGGGACTCATATGCACACCGACTTTGAAGGACAATAATCAATGACACTTAGTGTAGCTGGTCCAATCAAACTTAGCAGAAAAAGAAAAACAAAAAAAACAACAAAAGTTGTGACCGTGACAGAAATTGATTGGTGTAATTTGAATGCTCGTGCAAAAAAAAAAAAAAAAAAAACCAAATTAATTGGGGGTTTTTCCCACAAAAACACACGCAAACTCATAAACAACTTAAAAGTGCCAAAAGAGATCTTCGCTTTCATCACCTATGCAATTTTGTACTCCATAAACAATACTAGTTTGGTGTGTCATCAACATTCCAAATATAGTGCCTTGAAAAAAAATGCTTATGGTGCTTGAATTCATTTTATGTATCCATAAAAGTTTAGCAGCCATGTGTGCCATTTTAGACTTATAGCACCAAACTGATGTTGCAACATAAGCCGAACAACACTTCTATTGACATTTTAGGGTAGGAAAGAGAGAATTACATTAATTGGGACTCTTCACTTATTTTGGGGTGAAAATCAACATTAACTTCACCTTATTGACCTTCATGCTGTTTCATAGAGTGTGACTAGGCTGATATTTCCAGTTTCCAGTTTGATGCAAATCAAAGGGAATAATTGTCTTGCGAGAGACTCAAATACAAGTGAAAACACGGAAATAAGGAGAGGTAAGATACTCACTTTGCAAAGGCAAAATGCCATTAAGGCCTAAAATACAAGCAGTTACCATTGCATTTATTTCCCTTAGGCCTTTAGGAGCCATTATTTATATTTGGATTGCCACACGGAAGGAAGCAATCGTCTCTTCATCATAAAAAAAAGAAAAAAAAATTAGGCCCAACAGTTATAAAAATATTCAGTTGGTAGGACATGTGATTTAGGCCTCATTTAGCAGATAATACATCAGATCTCAGAGGAAGTCACATTTGATTTGTTTCTGACTTATTTTGCCGGCATGTGGCTTTATCTTACCTCTTGCGTGCGACCGCTCTCTCCAGACTCTGTCAGCAGCTTGATCGGGGTAGAGCGCTGTGAAACAGACCCTTCGTCGTCCCGATCCTCCTCCGAGTCGTCCTCAGACGTACTGGAGATGGCCTCCTCACTGGGGGGGGGAGGCGCGCTGGCTGCAGTCTTCCTCTGGAGAATGGTTTCCTCCTTGCTGCTCTTGCTGTTCAACAAGGAAGCACATTATTAGTAACTCTTATGCGAACCTTAATTAAGGTCATATGGGACCCCTTATCATGACCTCTCAACAACGGCTTTCATTTGGCCACCGTCTTATGAAGCTCAGATGAAAGAGCTACAAGATTGACTTCCAGTTTTCTTAATTCCTGTTCTGTCAATAGATTATTCCACATGAGCTGTCGAGCTCTACTGCTCCTCCAACGTTACCATAAGGCTATTTAAAACAGCTGTGCTTATACAGAGATTAAATCACACACACAGGTCACCGCTTACCTCAATCCCTTCATAATATTTTGTTTTGAGGTCAAACCATGACTCAGCACAGAACATTTGACAGCCCATGAATACATACGTACGGTAAAGTTGCGCTGAACTAATGCGGAGATGACCGTAAAAGCTGTAAGCGTTATTCTTTTTTCTTAGTAATGTTTGTCTGCTTAAGCTTTTGATACCAGAAATGCATGCATTCACAAACAGAGCTCATCAATGTGTCCGCTCAACAAAAACATGGAAAAGGACAGGCCGTATTTTCTGGCAACCTGAGAACATGATGATTAATGAAGCTGTGTGTGTGTTTAATGAAGCGTGTGTGTGTGTGTGTGTAAGGGCATGGTGACATGGGATTCACCTTACAAAAAAAAACAAAGCATAATAACATCATCCCCAGTGTGCCAAAATGAACAAAGTTTAAAGGAGGATTCACCCCAGCACTGATTTTCCAGTTTCCTCTGGCTTGCGGACTGTGAACGGACTTGGATCCACTCCCACGGATTTTGGCATAAATTCCCTTTATGAACAAATAAGAAAATATAATCACTCGACATCCTTTTCTATCTCGCCAATAAACGGGTAATAAATTCATCAAAAAAAATTTTAAATAGGTTCATTTGCAATTTCTACATCAACAAACGAGCAAACTCAATACGGTACAATCAATTTACTCGTGTACCTTGCAGAGTTGGTCATCCCAATGCAGAAAGTGTCATCAAAGGAGGTGAGCTCATAAGGTTTGAAGAACTCTGTGTAGATGTCAACACTTTCATCAAACTGGTTCATCCTCCTTACTTTGATGGTCTTCATTGTGTTCTCACAAGCAACTGCGTGCGCGCACACACACACACACACACACAAAAAAACAGTTAATGCCAGACATTTGCCACATCTATCATAAATTAACAAATAAGGATGTTTTCGTCACGTTTCAGATCATAAAACAGATCTTAAAATGGCAAAAGAATAAGTACAAGCAATGTTCACAATATTATTTTTTAATAAGGAGAAAAAAAAATCAATAGAAAAAGTAATTGTCCTTTAAATCTAATAACCGGGGGGTGTACCAACCTGACGGCAACAACTACCGTCAACAAACAGGGAAAGAGGTTTTTTTTTGCGTTGCTGTGAAAAAATTATGTCCTAATCTTATCTTTTAATTCAGTCAGCTTGGAAGGTTTTTAAGCACTAAAACATGCGTCAGGTCATTTCACAGCATGCTTCAGGTCTTTTCACAGCATGTTTTTAGAGTTTTTAAAAACCCCACTTTTATGCGTGGCTTTACCAAAGGATCTCAGCATGACGTCCAGCCCCCTCCGGCTTCTTTCTTTCTTTCTCTCTCTCTTTTTTTTTTTATTACAAATCTCGCATCTGTTTGTTGACGTAGGATTTTGTTGTGTATCCTTACATGTTGTTTTAAGGTAAAAAAAAAAACAAAAACAAAAAAAAAACCCCAGAAAGAGCAGATTATGCAGTCTAAAAAGGCACAACATGTAGTTCTTTTTTTTTTTTTTTTTTTTTTTTTTTTTTTTTTTTTTTTTTTTTTTTTAAAAAAAAAAAAAAAGGGGGTAAATTGTTTTCCCGTGTTTTTTGGGG